CCAAATAGCTAGGGAGACAGAGGTAGAAGGAAACCATAGAACAAACCAACTAGTATAAATCAAGAAACTATATTCTTCGGACCATCAGTCATTATGAGATTCTGGAGCTTTATGCCTCCATTATCTAGAAGAGATATTTGTCAGTTTCAAAAGCTACAAGTCTTTCCAGTCTTTCCATTTTGGTTTAAATAGCTCTATGGTAATTGATATGAATAAAAGATAGTTTTAATTTTATAGCAATAACTATATCTACCGGCAGAGTTTATTTTATGTCATTGATGGTCTATCTATTTTCCAAAAGGACTTGACAATTTATAATAAAGAACACAATTGTGGAGAAGCTTGATGAAGGAGTACTCAGAAAGAGGGAACCTAAAACAACAGAGGAAGCCACCTACACATTACTTCATGAGATTTTAGACTGTATTCGCAGGCCATCTTCAAGAGCCTCAGCCTGATGTCCTGTTTCTCATCCTACTTAATGTACCTCATGGTTTGCACTTGAAGTATCACACTCATTTTTATTTATTATTTTCAATGTGATATACTTATATACAAATAATTTATCTAGTTCAGTTTAAATTTAGGAGTCTTGAGCTTCCAAAACTTATTTTAACACCAATAGAAAATCATTGTAGGGAACTTTGGCACATTAAAATATATACATATATATTTCATATGTATACACACATACACATATATATTTTATATGTAGATATATATACACAAACACACATGTCTATATCTTTGAGTATTTTCCTGAAGCTATTTAACCTCTAATTATATAATAAGCAAAATAATAAAAAAGTTACAGGTAGTCAATTTTATTTTCTGATTAAATTTCTCTTATTTTCCTACTTACACACATGCATGGGTACACACATGTACATATGTACATACGTGCACACATATACTTCTATATATTATTTTAATATTTAGAGTGAATCTTAAACAAGACCATAATCCTATTTCTGTGAATCATTTCCCCCCAAAAAATGTGATCTGTTGTTTGGATATGAGACTGGAAATAGGAACAATGTCATAAAAGCAGGGAACTGGAGTTTAGAAATCAAAACAAAAAACCAATAATAACTATCCAAATGTTCCTAAACAAGGAAAAAGGTTATTTGCCCTCAGAAATTAAATTCCATTAAGATAAGCTGTAAAATACACCAAAGTTTTAAGAATCTTGGGAAAATATGTGACCTAGAAGAAAATGTATCCTTATTCTCTTAAAGAAGTCACATAACATCTGCTTCATCAGCTTATTGCTATTATATTAAACAGCTCTCTCAAAGTCCTTCAGGACTGTGCTGCATCCTTAGACCCCTTTCTCTTGCCATCATCTCTTCCCCATTACACACATGTGCACAGAGAACAGATACCAGCACACATGTCCATCTGCTTAACCCCAGCTCTGCCAGGGTCACCACCAGTTCCATCAGAGTGAGTGAGTGGCTAGTCAATTATCAAACAATAAGTCAAACCCATTATTTGTGGGTTGTGGGTTAAATAACATATCATACTTGTTAACATCTTTGAAGGAAGATGAGCTGTATTCACTTAATCCTGATTAGTGGGGACGGTGTAGAGATTCCATTCCTGAAATACTTTGTTAGAACTCAGCAAAGCGACTTCAGCTGATTGAAAACATGCAAATGCCACAGTGTTAAACAAATGGCCCAGGTGTTATTTTTTTCTTCAGATAAATTGATCATTTTTGCTATCAGGAAAGATAGTTGCATGGTCCTGATTATTAATGTAGTGTGATCTCAGCACTGACATTCTGAACTCAGTTGAGAAACCAGGAATCATTATTTCTTGGCTCTCAGGAGAAGTTATGTGATGTGGTATTACATGACTTGGAAATAAAAAAACCCTTAATGGATATAAGGAGGGTTCTTAGAGTTCCTGAGATGTTTCCCTCAAATTTATTTGTAATCCATACTTTAAAGTAACAACTTTTTAAAATTCGAAAATAAAAGTGAAACAACTTTATTATGTTCCCTTTGGGACTCTAGGCATTTTATATGAATTAACAGAAAGTGTGTGTTTATTTCTAAAAACCATGAAAGATATAAAAACATAAAAAATAAGGAGAAAAAAATCACATTATCAGAGTAGAAAATTGCAACTATTAGTTAACTTCCTCTAAAGCCAGCATCAGGCTATGGAAACACTCAGGGTCTTTATTCACCCTGAATAGAAAGCTCAGTCCAGAGAACAGATGTTTTAATACTGCTTTCTGCATAGTAGAATAAGCCTTATACTAAGCGCTTTTTATCTTTTATTCCCTTTTCACCTATAGAGTTAGAATTATCTAACATATATAACATGTATATATGTATATATGTATGCATGTATATATGTATATATGTATATATATATTTTTTTAATTTTTATATGCAGATTTCAGGTGATGGCTTTGTGTTCATTCTGTTTTGGTATTGGAAGAAAAAGTGAAAAGAGCTAAATTTGGACAGCTTTGCCCCACTGGTCCAGTTTATTGTGCAAAAAATAGTTGCATTTGCAGGTAGTGAGAAAAGACTTATAGACTGGTGGCTCAGGCTGGGGACTTAAAGAAGGTACCACTGATTTAAGTGAAATATCTGAGCCTCTGTTCTATAAAACTGTTAACAAAGGAAATGTCCCATATGAATGTAGGGAACTTTCATCTAACAAATTTGTATAATCTTTGCAAATTGTAAAGTTCTATGTATATTATTATTATTTTTTTTGCAATGAGTTTTTCACTTTGTTTATTTGTAGTAACAAAATACACCTCTGTGGCAAAATCCACTATGTGGCACAATTCACTATGTAATTAGGATAGAATAGGGTAAGATTTTATAAATTATCATGAAATGTCACAGGCTGATTTGCATTTTTGGTGATTTTATACATTAATCACTGAGTAACCTTCAGTTTTCCAAATAAAGAAAGAAGGGAGCAATGATGACATTTGTAATATCTACAGAAAGGGACTTATTTAAATTCTTTACAGATGGAGAGATATCAAGGGTAAATCATTATACCCACATTTCTAATTTTAAGAAGATTTGATAGTGTTTGTGRATGGTAAGAAGCCAACATTGTTTTGAATATAGCCTTCGTCATAAGCTTTCCTTACTACAGTCCCAAATTCTCCAGATGACTGTGGGAGGCTTTCCAGAGACCATCCCCCAAAGATTGAGAAATTCATAAAAGGAAAATAATGTCATGCTACATGTAATACATAAACTCACCAAATTGGAATGATTTGGATAGTGACCTTTCAAGGAGGACAAATGACATTCTATATATACATCAGAATTTAATGTGGCTTTATTCTTTACAAAGATGACATATGACATATACTCCTAATTCTAGCTCAAAGGAGTATATTATTTCTAAGCAAGCTGCATAACTCATCTCTTCTTCAGCTAGCATAATCCCACCCAATATTTTCTGTAAACTAGCCCTGATAATAAATGTGGACCAGTGCTTGAGATTTTTAGTAACTGCTAAAGATATCTGAATGGTTGTCTAATGTTGTTTTAAAAATAGTCTTAAAGGTTGGAACATGTTTGCTGGGATATTCACAAGAAAATCTAGTGCCAAATGTTCTTTGGACTTTGAGCTGAGTAACATATGGAGTAACAGGCAGGAAACCATGAGGGCTACATTGGGTAGTCTATTTTGTCTACTAAATTGAAATATTTTTCCCCAAATCAGAATTTAAACTTAAATTTGCTTCTTGAAATAGGCTTTTTACATTTTTAAATACATATTTTTCTTTGTTTTTCTTTCTATTTATTTTATAGATAATTTCATATTCATATATTCTTGGTAGCCTCTTGTTTCACACTGAGAAGAGGAAATTCATGAGTAAATAATAAAAAACACTGATAAACCCACTAGTTGTAACTGATGATACCACTTCTCATGTTAAAAGTTCATTTTCTGGGGATTATTTTGCTATGTCTCATGTAGTTTGGAAAAGGAATTTGAAACTGTTGTTCTAATACCAGATACATTCTACCACTAGAGGAGAAAAACTTTCATTTTTAAAGAGCTTGGAAATAATTTTAGTCACCATGCTTATGGCAACATAATAGGGAAATAGGCAAAAACTTTCAGTCTTACAAGTTGAACATTCCTAACACAAAAATCCAAAATCTGAAATGCTTTAATACCTAAAACTTTTTGAACATTGACAGGGTGTCACAAGTGGAAGATTCTACCTGATCTCATGTGATAAGCTCTAATCCAACTGTAAATTWCCTTCAAGTTATGTGTATAAGTTGTYWWWAAAMMAAWWAAWTTTWYWWTT